CCCCAAAACCCCAAAACCCCAAAACCCCAAAACCCCTCCTTGCTATTAACTATTGAGGTTATAATAATTACGCTATTCTCTCAGTCTGTAGAACAATACATAAGCGCTTGAGCATACAATTTCTCTATCACTTGATTTTCCGCATGAGGAATCATTGAAGTAATACCACTTGTTGTCAAGGCTATTCTTACAGTGAGCAACGTAGTGACCGCCTCCTAGACTTCCAGAATGGTTTGAAACAGCATATCAGTCATAGAGGTACTCCTTCCCTTCATTGTCTAGCAAGTATTTGCCCATATCAAGTCCTTTAAGAGGGAAATCTATGAGGTCACTGTTCTTTGAAGATCCCATTATCATTCTTCCAAAGGCAGAATATCCAGAATATTTGCTACCTGAGGACTCTCCTTTGCTGAATCTCTTCAGCTGGACTACTAAGATCTTTGGCAGCTTATAAATATCCATTTTCTTATAAGTGTCCTGATGTTTTTCACATTTGGAACAGTAGTACCTGTTATCATCAGTGAGGAGCTCCTCAACGCTGAACTTCTCGATACAATCATCAATAGAAATAGCTGCACTCTCTCCGATGCTATGGCCGGAGTATTTACTGTCTTCTAACGGATCAAGATCAACCTTAGTGGCTCTGGGGAAGCAGATCCTCAAGTAAACATTATCAATAGAGACTAAATTCTCAACAAATTCGCCAAAGGTTTCTTCAGAGTCTTTAAATTCCTTGAACTTTCTAGAAGAGTAATAATGTGTCTTCTGGCTTTCATATTCAATTGTGAAGATTTTGGAGATTCCATGCTGAGACTTATTGTAAAAAGCTTCATAAATATCCCGGATGACCTTCTCTTTATCCTCCTTCTTCTCATAAGCTTCCTGGTATTGCTCTGGAAGAGTGATCAAGGGGAATAGATACTTGAAGATAGCCAGCTTCAGGTCAGTACAGGTCTTGTCAACATGATGCAAGAATATCTTGGGTGCGCAAACATCTGTGTAATTGGAAGACCCAAACATACTCCTACTCTCACTGACAAAATGTACTTGTACACAAGAAGTTTTAGATTTCTCTTCTCTATCAATAGGTGTGTACTCATAAGCAGTGAGTCTTTCGTCTTCAAGTTTGGTTGCTAGTACATCGTCGTCAATCCTCTCTCCAATAAGGTCCTTTCTCCTCAAAGTGTACAAGAGAATGGGATTTTCTGTTTTTACGAGAGCTTTGATCTTAGCCTTTAGGTCTTCAACTGAGTCCTTAATTCCTACATTGAGCTTCAGTTTCTGCACTGGATTTTGAGTTGATACTGCTTCAGGGAAATAAGTGATCGAAATTCTACTAAACTTGTTCTTCGGGATAGGCAAGCTTAGAGCTAAGTAAGGATCGAAAGTATTGGAGATATTCTTACATACATCGCAAATCAGTCTTGATTTGAGTTGTCCATACATCAAGTCAACAATAACAGACTGGTTTCTGTCTGTGAATGCCTTCCAATGATCAGCAGATACTTCAGAGTCTGACCTGCCATCAGAATCCTTGAATTCGGTATAAGGCTTCTCGATCACTCTATTGAGATCTTCATGGAGAGTATCAGTGACATAATTGAATAATTCAAAAGAATCTTGCTGTGCGAATCCTTGGAATTGGTAGGCAACTGTTCCAATGGCTTTCTTCACATCCCATGGGGCTACTCTTCCATCACCTTTGACCCACAATTCCTTCATTAGCTTGGCATAAGCAGTAGCTAGTCTTCCTTTCGTGCCAAGAGGATTGTCATAATTTATCTCGTTTTTGTGGAGACCAAATAGGAAATATTTTGTCAACTCAGTAGTGTTACTCATACATTGTAGAGCAGAGTTCATGAAACAAGTATTTCCAAGATTTGAGAGGCCACATTTACCTTCATTTGATCTCGAATCGAACAAGCTAGTGATATCTAGATTCAAGAATCTGAGACTCTTTGCATCAGTAAGAGCTTCCTTGAGCTCTTCATCTTCGATGTGATCATGAAGGACCTCATTGCCTTCTTGTTTTTCAATCTCTTCGAATATGAAATCACCTCTACACTTGCATTCAACAATGATGAAATCATCGAGACTCAGTTGAACATCATTGATAGTCTCGCTTAGCTTCTTCAGATATGTAGCATTGAGTCTGATATGTCTATGCTTCCTAAACTCACACAAGTTATTCCTATAGAAGGTATCGAAATCACTAGGAATTGGAGATTTCCAGAGCCTCACACTTGTCTTTTGAAGACCTTGCAGCCTCGCAAGTCTCTCCTTAAACTCAGCAATTGTCTTATGCCTAGACTCAAAGATTTGGTACATCTGAGTATCCTCTCCTTCTTGAGAAGGGAAGTAGTGAATATTTATCTTGATAAGGTTGGCCTCAATACAGCATTCTTCGTTTCCTTCTTTCTTCTCTCCGTAACGCATTACCTCAACTCCGCTGTAGTGAGCATGGAGGAAGTCCCATACCTTTTGGTTTACGATGAAATAGTGGGTCTCTTCTAGAAGGTTTTCCTTCAAATTATAGTCCAAATAAACCTCAGTGGGGTCTCTCAGAAGATGCTCGGGATTATCGAGAATATCTTCATTTGTGATCATTCCAGGGTGTTCAACTCTCATAGCTTCGTTATTAGAATCACCTGGATTTTGCAGTACGTATTCCTTGAAGTTTTTGAGCCAGGCTGCTGAGACAAGATACCATTTAGATCCAGGTGTGACATCCATTTTGGTAATTTCAAATTCTTCCCACAAGGAATTGAATTCCTTCGCCTGCTCGGCAAGTTGCTCCTCAGTATGAAAATTTGAAACCTCTATTTCTCCGTTCTTAATTTGCCTAAAACACATGAGATAAGTAACAAAATTGGGGGACTTACTCTAAGCATTCCTGTCAATGCTCCTTCAAGCTAATAATATCAGGATTGTTCCTCTTAAGCTCATTCTTTTTGTAGTATGAGTCTTTTGGAACAAAAATCGTTGAGTACATTCTGAGGTACTCTTCGAACATCATGGCAGATCTGCGGATATCCTGTCCAAATTCCATTTCCAGAATACCTGAAAGGTATAAGGTTTTGGCCTTCAAGATATATGATTCTGGCTTATCTTTTCCAGTGCAGTAATTCAATATCTTATGAAGGTCCTTCCTGGCTGGTTGCAGGTAATCTTTGCCCATTTGGTAGTAACATTTAGCGCGATAATACTTGTAGAGAGGACTATGTGTCTCCATCTCGTCGATGATGGTACATAAGATCTTCACAGCCTCTTCATAGTTATCCCCCTCCATCATTTCAAGAGCCTGTCTCTTCAACCTATTCATAAGTAAGTTTAGTTTGCCGAAATGAAGGGTTCTCAACCAAATTTTTTGAAATTTAGATTTATGTCGAGTACACCCAAAAACCCGAGCAACATGCTTTATCAAAGGAAAAGATTGCACCAGAGGTCCAAGGGTACCTCTAGAGGTCTGATACTAAAAGGAAGGAGCTCCCATAATTGAGGTTAATTTTCATGGTATAAATCCGATAAAATCTGAATACATCTTTTTTGTACCTACCTCTTAATCTCTTCAGTCATATTTCTTTACTAATTCTATAAATTTATAAATATATGGGGTTTTGGGGTTTTGGGGTTTTGGGGTTTTGGGGTTTTGGGG